TATCATCCCTAAAGTATATCTTTTTTGGCCGCATTTACTTTACGGCCGCATTCACTTCACGGCCGCATTTACTTTATTACTTTACGGCCGCTTTCACTTCACGGCCGCTTTTACTTCACGGCCGCTTTTACTTTACGGCCGCTACTTTGGTGAAAATAAACAATTTTTTCTATAATCACACTCTCTTTATCGTAGTTTTTGTTATTAATAATTGTGTATCTACCTATCTTTGCTGGATTATTTATTTGATCAATAAAGTTTAAAGCTACTGTTGAATTTTATTCTTTTTTCAAGAACAAACACTCGCCTAAAAAATTTTGTGTGCACCTCGGCCGAATAGTTATTTGTGTACCAAGGCCGTAAAGTTGATCTTTTTTGGCCGAATCAGAAATTTGCGGCCGAGGCGTAGCCGAGGCCAAGCAAATTTCAGGTGAGGCAAAAAAAGATCATTCGGCCGAGGTGCACACAAAATTTTTTAGGCGAGTGTTTGTTCTGGAAAAAAGATGAAAATTCAACAGTAGCTTTAAACTTTTATTGATTAGATAAAAAATCCAGCAAAGATAGGTAGATACATAATTATTACTAACAAAAACTACGATAAAGGAAGTGTGATTATAGAAAATTGCCGACTTTTTCGCCTGGTATCCTACATTGTGCTTTTTTAAAAAAGTAATAGGATAGGGCTAAAATCAAAAATTTGGTTCCATTGTGGTTGCTAACTAATTGTTTATTGGTTGTGTTGATGGTTACGGCACCGCGTTTTCGATTGTCTGTCTATATGTATATTTTCACCAAAGTAGCGGCCGTAAAGTAAAAGCGGCCGTAAAGTAAAAGCGGCCGTAAAGTAAATGCGGCCGTAAAGTAAAAGCGGCCGTAAAGTGATAGAGCAAATGCGGCCGTGAAGTAAATGCGGCCGTAAAGTAAATGCGGCCAAAAAAGATATACTTTAGGGCTGATATTGAATCCGTAAAACTAATCTTTTTGTGACAGTCGCCTAAAAACACAATATTTGTGTGCCCCATCGCTTTTACTAAATTTTAAATAGGTTTTTCCAATATTTTCCCATGCATAAACGTGTAACATGGACCGCAAAACAATAATCAGCTGATCGAAGAAATGACAGTGAAATTGTGCGATGTTGCCGGCTTGTACAAATTGAAGCGCGTTAGGTTTAAAAAAAAAACTTTACAAAATGACCATCAATATATCTTCTCAATAAATAGCTTGAGTCCTTGACGGCATCAAATATAAGGTTAATTGATAATAAAGAATTTGAATCTCAGTTCTAATGAAATCGAAATTATTCATGATTCTTTCCTGTATAGCGTGATAGAAACCGACACTTGGCAACAATGTTTTGCGCATGCGCAACAGAATTATTCTAATTTGAAAAGGTCTATTCTTTTTATTCATGAGAAATAGTGATTGTCAGTAATTAAATAAGGCAGATCAGTAATAAAATCGATCACTATTTGAAAAGTGCCATAATTCTCTTATGTTGTTTTTCGCATCTTTTATTTTGGTTATCTCTTTCTTAGGTGAGTTATGTCTTTTAAATATATTTAGTCCTTTGTTCTGTTCTAATAGGGATTGCACTAGTTTCGTTTGATGTTTTAGTATATCCTGCTTCGCCATTTTTCTTGCTGTTTTGTTGGTTTCTGTGTATTCAATAGTGTCTCTTTTACCCTCGGTTATCAGTTTTCTCTAGTAGCTGTTTCGTTATGATATATACGGCTCAAATTTTGTATATCTTGTTTGTCATTAACAGCGTTGGTTTCTGTTTTAATAGCAATCATCTCTTTCACAATCAGTTTATTATAATTAGAATCCCTATCGAGAATTTTTGTGTTTTTGAAATCAAAATTGTGGTTTTCGTTTTTTTCATATTTATGAAGCTCTGTGCAGGTATTTTTAGTATATTTGTGGCCTTTAATTCGATTTTCGAGATGCTGTGTTGTCATTCCTATGTACTTTTGATTGCAATTTGAACAAGGGATTTCGTAAATCACATTAGAGTTTTTGTTTTTTGGAACCTTGCTTTTTAAGGGGGTACATATATAGTTTTGACAGGTTATTGAAGGATTTATGGCAGACAGTTATGTCGTGATTTTTTAGAATATGACCCAGCTTTTCAGAAAGTCCATGTACATACGCATGGGGATGTTAATAGGAGCGTGCTAAATAAAAACAAGACACAACAAAGTTAAAATAAATAATTTCCAGAAAAAAATAACAGAACAGTTGAAAAAAATTAATGAATTTATAAAATCTAACTCACAAATAACCATACTAAGGCCAGACAAAAGCAACAAGACAGTCATTATGAATTCTACCTATTACGAACAAAAAATGTATGACATCATTAATGACACCAGTACCTACAAAAAATTTAAATATGATCCTACTAAATCCTATCAAAATAAAAATAATAATCTAATAAAAAAGTCAGTTAAATTAAATATACTTAGTGAGAACGAGGGAAAAATGTTATTCACAACGCTGTTTCACCTAAAATATATGGGTAACCAAAATTACACAAGCCAAACACCCCCTTAAGACCAATTGTTTCATGCATCAAGTCTCCGTATTATAAATTGTCAAAATATCTATCACAATGTCTTTCAAAAGTAACAGGAAAATAGTTATTTTCTCCAAACGTCAGAAAAACGTCACTTTGTTAACCCCTGTCAAGATGTCAGAAATTTGATTTCTATGCTGCTAGGCAAATCCAGTGGGTAATACCTGTCGAGGTGTCGAGGTGGTAGAAATTTAATTTCTATGCTGCTTGGCAACCCCAGCGGCAGCAAAAGTACTTTTAGTGCCGCTGGAGCGGCAGTAGAAGTACTTTTAGTGCCGCTCGTACTTTTGCTGCCGCTCAACCATTCACTTGCCCCCGAGCTTACCCCATTCGTTTGGAGAAAAAATAGCGTGTTGCATACGGAGTAGAAGCACTTTTTTGTGCTTCAGCAGTATTGCAAGCCTCACTGCGTTCGGCTCGCAAACCTACCGCTTCAGCACAAAAAAGTAAAGCTTCTACTCCTAATACAACAATATACTTTTTGTTTTACTAGGCAGAAAAGTACAAGATTTAATGCCGCGGCTGGTGTTTCATAGCCGAGGCTAGGAAACCAGCCGAGGCATTAAATCTGCTTTTCTGCCATGTAAAACATATAATTTTCTCTCCGAATGTTCAAATTCACACATGGACATCTTTTTTATATTCATTTCATTCATTATTATTATCCAAATAATTAAATTATTTTGACAATTGTCATTGTCACCATCAATTTCAAATACCAAATTGAGTGAAATTATTACCTAGAACGTTGTGACACTGTCACTTTTAATGCCTAGGCAGTAAAAGTCCACTTTTACTGCCTAGGCAGTAAAAATACAACTTTTGATCCTGTCAAGTGTCATTAAAAAGCCGCTTTTACAGTCATTCGGAGAAAAAATAATTACTACGTTAAGGATTCCTTTTCATTCAAACAATTTATCGATAGGTACGCAAAATATACCAGAAGATCATAAAATAATTTCCTTAGATGTAGTCTCGTTATATACTAATATACCTAACGATTTACTTTTTAACGTCATCCATGATAAATGGAATGATATCAAAGAACACACCAAACTCCCAGAAAAAACTTTTATTGAAGCATTAAACCTAACCTAAAAATGCAATTATTTTCAATTCCAAGACAAGTTTTACGAACAACTAGATGGTTGTGCTATGAGTTCTCCAATTTCCTCAACTGTTGCCCAACTTATAATGGAGTTTTCAGAAGAAAATGTATTATCTTCATTGAATATAAATACAATATTTTTTAAACGGTATGTGGACGACTGGCTGACTGCTATTCCAAGCAATAAAATAAATGAATTTCTATCAGCCTTTAACAATTTCCACCCAAAACTTAATTTCACCACCGAAATAGAGACAAATAATGAAATTAACTTCCTAGATCTTACTATTATTCGAGATACAGACACGAATGTACTCAAAACTAAATGGTATACAAAACCAACATCATCTAGCCGCTATTTCAATTATAACTCTCAACATCCCAAGGCACAAATAAAAAGTGTTATGATTGGAATAGTAGACATTTTGATTTCAAAAACACAAAAATTCTCGATAGGGATTCTAATTATAATTAACTGACTGTGAAAGAGATGATTGTTATGAAAAAAGAAACCAACGCTGTTAATGACAAACAAGATATACAAAATTTGAGCCGTATATATCATAACTTGATTTATACGTAGAACTAAACTACTATAACTTTCGTATTTAGTGCTTGAACGGTTTCCAACAGTTCCATAAGTTAAACACAACAAGATAAAGAAATTTAAAAAAATATATACCAAAAAATTGAATTCTATTTGCAATCCTTTTCATAAAATAAACCATTTGACTATGAAGATTCTACTAAATAAGTTCTATGTATGTACTATTTTTAATATAATTCAAAATTTTTGTTTTAATTAAATAAGCTTCTTGTACCTTAATAGCAACTTACTGTGTTATTTGTATTGTTCCTTTTCTTTAGTGTTCATTGTTATCTACATATTAGTAAATTATTTATAAATATTGTCACATTTACTCATATTTAATTTTTTGTAAAATTTCTTTATTGGGGTTATATAGTATAATAAATAAATAAATAAATTAAAATGTGTTTTCCGTAGGTAATAATTGTAATAACAACCTCCTTTTGAAAAAGCCAAAATAAAATAATGGCGAAACGTCAAGCTAACTAGAAAAAAGCCATTTTGTTCTATACCAATAAACCTATACCCAAGAAAAAAAAAACTATAATTAGTAAGAAGGTTTAAGAATTCATAACATAGTAAATTATTTTGTGTCCGCATCCTTTTATCTTTTCTAGCTGTTAGAATGCTTCAGTTTCGACTGAGACTGTTTTAAGCAAAAGAAAACCGGGACATTGAATCAAAAATAGAGTTATTGCTGAATGTTTATTACGTATTTTTTTTAGGAAATCATAAATACAAAAAATCTGAGTCTGCTTCTATCAGCAAACGTAGTCGTGCTAGACAATCAGTTAGAAGAGAGAGAGTGTTACACAAACCTATGCAAAAGAAGGTAAGTTTTTCATGTGCAATTTCTAATTTTTCATTGTTGAATCATGATTATTTTCAAGAAACCATTGAGTAACAAGAGCAGCAGTGGCCTTAAAAACGAGAGAGACAAAGCCAAAATATCTATTCTAGAAGTTGAAGTCCATAGTGACACTAGAAATCAAAGTGCTCAGAATCACATTGTTATGGAAGAAAATGTTCAAACGGTTAACATAATTGAGACAGAAAAACCTAATAGAGAGAGAGTTTTACAAAAACCTTTGCCAGAAAAGGTAAGTTTTTTTATTTACAAGGAAAATCCCACACAATTTTTCATTTACCATTGTTGAATCATGATTGTTTTCAAGAAACCATTTAGTTACAACGGCAGCAGTGGCCCTGAAGACGAGAGAGACAAAGCCAAAATATCTATTACACAAGTTGAAGTCCATAGTGACACTACAGATCGAAGTAATCTGAATCTCATTGTCATGGAAGAAAATGTTCAAACGGTCCACATAAATGAGACAAAAAAACTTAGCAGAGAGAGAGTTGTTTCAGACAAACCTATACTAGAGAAGGTAAGTTTATTTTTATTTACAAAGGAAATCCTACACAATTTTTCACTTACATTGTTGAATCATGGTTGTTTTCAAGAAACCATTGAGTTACGAGGGCAGAAGTGGCCTTGAACATGAAAAAGATGAAATATCTATTGAACCAGTTGAAGTGCATGTACATACAAACATCGCAAATGAAAGTGATCGGGAAGCAAAAGGTTCTATAGATGAACATCAAAAAAGTGAAGCTTCTAATCACATTGCTCTGGACGAAAAAGCTCCGATGATTAACGTGAACAAAACAGAAAATAACAAGTACTTACCCGACCTCAAAGCCAAAGAAAGCCAATCGGCACCGGACCATTCAAGTCTTAGAAAAACAAAGAGGAGGAAACTTTATGATCCAGCAGATTTCTCTAATTTGGATGAAATGGTGGAAGGTAAATAATATGTACATTACATTGAATCCAAACGAAATATCTCAAAACCAAATTTTTTCATGAGAGAAAATATTGTTATTGCTTGAATGTTTAATATTATGTATTTTTTCTAGGAAATCAAAAGTACAAAAAACCCAAGTCTGCTCCCATGAGAAAACGCAGTCGTGTTAGACAATTACGTAGCAGAGATATAGTTTTGGACAGACCTGTGCTAGAGAAGGTAAGTTTTTCTTTATTTACAAAGCAAATCCAACAGAATTTTTAATTTACCATTGTTGAATCATGACTTTTTTCAAGAAACCATTGAGTTACAATAACATCAGTGGTTTTGAACATAAGAAAGGCAAAGACGAAGTATCTATTGACCAAGTTGAAGTCCATATTAACACTTCAAATCAAAGTGATCAGAATCACATTATTCTGAAAGAAAATGTTCGAACGGTTAACGTAAATGAAACAGAAAAAGTTAGCAGAGAAAGAGTTTTACACACACCTATTTTAGAAAAGGTAAGTTTTTCTTTATTTGCAAAGGAAATCCTACAAAATTTTTCAATTACCATTGTTGAATCATGATCATTTTTAAGAAACCATTGAGTAACAAGGACAGCAGTGGCTCTGATCATGATGAAAAAGACAAAGACGAAATATTTATTGAACCACCTAAAGTTCATACAAACAGTGAAAGTAAAAGTGATCGCGAAGCTAAAGGTTCTATAGATGAACATCAAAAAGGTGAAGATTCTAATAACATTGTTTCGGAAGAAAATGCTCCGACGATTACCGTGGACAAAACAGAAAAGTACAAATACTTGCCCGACCTCAAGGCCAAAGAAAGCCAATTGGCACCGGACCATTCACGTCTTAGAGAAACAAAAAGGAAGAAACTTCATGATCCGGCGGATTTCTCTTATTTGGATGAAATGGTGGAAGGTAAATGTTTAGGTGATCTGTGGTACAGGGTGGCCCAAATTCGAGCCTCATCATTGGGATCTCGGTAACCGTAAGAGATACGGGGTCGGTTAAATTATGGCAAAGTTGCGCAATTTTATAACCAATAGGGTGCCCTTTTGAAACTAGAAAGATTCCGAATACTTCCGGAGATATTCGGAAAAAACCGAAATTTTGTAAAATCGTTTTTATTTTTTCCCGAGCTTATTTGAAAAGCAATTTCAAAATAAATGTCACTTCAACATTGTCACTTTAGAAGATAGTGCTACTAAATAATTTAAAATTCGACGTTTTGTCTTCAGGCGGCCATCCTCAACTTCCTTTTTTTAAATACGGACCTGAATTTTTTATTTGCGATTTTGTCATTTTTCGGCATTCTAAAACCGATACTGTTTATAATTTTTCCTACAACCGTGCGGAAAAATCGATTTTCCGCACTGATATGCGTGCGGAAAATGAGTTTTCCCACACGGTGCGGTAAAACTTTTTTTTTCGACATATCAGTGCGGAAAAAGTTTTTCCGCACGGCTGTCAGTGCGGAAAAATTTTTACCGCACTGATATGTCAAAAAAAGAAAGAAAAATTTTACACTTTTTCGCCTGTAGGAAAAATATTGTACCTAACACTTGCGGAAAATATTTTTCCGCACTTGTTAGGTAAATAGCTATTTTCTACTGACGTTTCATAATACGCTATTAAACGATTAAAATCTGTTTCATAATGAACTTCATTACGATACAGATTTTCATTATAATACTCATTTTTAATATTATACAATGTTGATAGATGGCAGCACTAGTTGAGATATTAAACATTTTAAACGGTAATTTTGCATAAAACAAATATTTTGATAACTATAAGAAAGAATCCGAATTGTTTAAAAGTTACCTAAAGTTTGGGACAAAGAATAATTATTATGGAAATAATGAATGATAAGGAAGAATTTTTACTTTTTTTATTATTATACATTGTCAATAGATGGCGCCATCAGTTAAAAAAAATTTGAATTTTTTTTTTTTGAATGTTGGCGGCACTCTGTTTATAGCTTTTCCATGGTAATTTAGCGAAAAACAATAATTTTATAAACAAAAATACCTTAAATTGTTATTAAAAGTTAATACCTTAAGTTTGGGAGAAGGCATTATTATGGTTATACAACTCACTGTACATTATTCCCATATGACACGAGAGGATTAATAAGTGATAAGCCTTTTGGGATTATCGCGCTTGGTGGCATTTATGGCAAATTCTATTATAGATTTTTTTTTTAAATTTTAAAGTATTGAAGTTTAGTTTGTTGTATAACCTTTTGAATACCACTCGATGTTTCAGGATTACCTAATACTTTTACCTGACACTCAACGTTTCGTGACAGGTAAAAGTATTATCCGGTAATCCTGAAACCTCTTGTGGTATTACATTCGAAAATATTGAGCGATAACGAAGAATTTTCACTAACACCTCCAGAAATTACAGAAAGGGCGACAAATGCAGGTAATAATATACGGTGTGGATAATGTTACGGAACTTCCGGTCCAATATTTTTTTTTTTATTAACCCGGAATTTCCGAATTAATATTTTATTATTATTCGTCCGGAAAATAACCATGTACCCCTGCAATGACACAATCATTCTATGGTACCGTAGCGAGGAGGGTCAAATTAACTTTTTGACGTATTTTTTGCATCTCTATCCGATAGAATTTTTTTTTTTTTGGAATTCGATATTTGAATTTTTTCGACAAAAAAAATTCAAAGGGTATATATACCTTCGATTTTTTTTTTTTAATTTTCAAACCGTCCTAACTCGAAAACGAAAAGCTTGGGAGAAAAACTTCAAATGCAAAACTTATAGATCTCGTCGAGTACTACAAAAAAGCTTAGGAGAAGTATCCCTCCAGGGGGCACTGTTTTCGAGAAAATCGACCTCGAAAATTTTAACAAAATTACAAGAAATTTCAACTTTGACGGCCAATATCTCAAAGACAAAATTGATCTGGAATCTCAATAAAAAATATTTTGTAGATAATTTCATCCTCTTTCAAGTGAGATATGACTCGAAACGATCGGTTAAGAAATAGTGGAGTTATAGGCGAAAAAGTGGTCTCGCGTCGGATACCCACAATTTTTTTCTGATCAAAATCGAAATTTCCTTTTTTATTTTTTTTTTTCGGCCTTAAGATGTACCGTAGCGAGGAGGGTCAAATTTACTTTTTGACGTATTTTTTGCTCCTCTATCCGATAGAATTTTTTATTTTTTTGAAATTCGATATTTGATTTTGTCGACAATGCAAGGACTAGTACGCATTACGTGGACGGGTTAGTTTGCATATTTTTGGTTAGTTTCATTACAGTTCATTTAATACTGGATATAAGTGTACTGGACTACTGGTTAATAACAAAGCGCGCGAAGCGCGCTCTTTTTTTTCTAAATTCGATACATGCAAGGACTAGTATGCATTACGTGGACGGGTTAGTTTGGGCTAGTTTGCATATTTTTGGTTAGTTTTATTACAGTTCATTTAATACTGGATATAAGTGTACTGGTAAACTGGTACACAAGTAAAAAAACAATCCGGACGAATAATAATATAATAATCCGGAAATTCCGGGCTAATAAAAAAAAAAAATTCAACCGGAAGATCCGGGTGATTAGGGACACCCAACAATATACTACCGGACAAGTCCAAGAAAATTTACGAAAAATTATATGGACAATTTATGGATTGGAAACACCAAAAACACATCAACCTCTCAGAAAATGTTTTGATAGTATATTTTGAAGAATTACAACAAAAAATGAAACCTTCAACTAGTTGGGGAGCTGGCGTCAAAAACATGCAAGAGTTTTCGCAAGGCGGATATTTTCAAAATAGGTCGTACTTTAGTGTTAGAATGCTAGTGTACAGTCAGCACTCACAGTTCCGGGACAGCTGGCTCTGGGACGCGGGCAAAGTTGTAATTTTAAGAAGCATCTAAACTGTTTTCTCAAAGCTCAAAATTTATAGAAATTTTGCACATTATCTGTTTGAAGGTCACAGATAACGTATGTAAATCGTCAGACGTCTAGTTCGTTGCAAAAAGGGGGTCAGACTGTCAGACGTCCTCAAAGTTTTTATTTTATGGCATTTTCTTCGGTGTCCTGTCAAAATATATTTTTGCAGGTATTTGACAAATATATTTGAAGAAAATGCCATAAAATAAAAACTTTGAGGACGTCTTACATACGTTATCTGTGACCTTCAAACAGATAATGTGCAAAATTTCTATAAATTTTGAGCTTTGAGAAAACAGTTTAGATGCTTCTTAAAATTACAACTTTGCCCGCGTCCCAGAGCCAGCTGTCCCGGAACTGTGAGTGCTGACTGTACACTAGCATTCTAGCACTAAAGTAGGACCTATTTTGAAAATATCCGCCTTGCGAAAACTCTTGCATGTTTTTGGCGCCACCTCCTGGACTAAACTGTATGGATTACTCAATTATGAAATCTCTATTCAAAGTTAAGCATAATGTTGACATATCTATTCTAAATATCATAAGTTTTATCAATGACAGTAGAAAAAATAGTGTATGCAACAAAAGAAGAATGTGTATTAATGGCTATCATTACATGATCATTGCATAATATACTAATTTCAATAACACGGTAAAAAAAGCAGGCCCGTATTTAAAAAAAATAAATTGATGACAGAGGAACGAAACGTTGGATTTCAAATTTATTACCGCCATCTTGCAGAGAAAAAAAAGTGACAATGGGAATGTGAGAAATTCATGTTTTTTTCGTATAGTTCTTTTTTTTTCTGATTTTATTTAAAAAGATTGTGAAAAACTAATTTTACATTCCCATTGTCACTTTTTCTTCTCTGCAAGATGGCGGTAATAAATTTGAAATCCAACGTTTCGTTCCTCTGTCATCAATTTATTTTTTTTAAATACGGACCTGCTTTTTTTTACCGTGTTATTGAAATTAGTATATTATGCAATGATCATGTAATGATAGCCATTAATACACATTCTTCTGTACAAGATGGCGGTATTAAATTTAAAATCCAAAGTTTCGTTCCTCTGGAATCACCATCAATTTTTTTTTTTAAATATGGACCTTTTTTTGTTACTGTGTCATTGAAAAATTATAAACAGTATCGGTTTTAGGATGCCCAAAGATGACAAAATCGCAAATAAAAAATCCAGGTCCGTATTTAAAAAAAGGAAGTTGAGGATGGCCGCGTGAAGACGAAACGTCTAATTTTAAATTTAGTAGCACCATCTTCTAAAGGGGAAAAAGTGACAATGATGAAGTGACATTTATTTTAAAATTGCTCTTCAAATAAGCCCAGGAAAAAATTAAAACGATTTTACAAAATTTCGGTTTTTTCCAAATATCTCCGGAAGTATTTGGAATCTTTCTAGTTTCAAAACGGCACTCTGTTGATCATAAAATTACGCAACTTTGCTGCATTTAACCGACCCCGTATCTCTTACTGTTACCGAGATCCCAATGATGAGGCTCGAATTTGGGCCACCCTGTACATTACATTGAATCCAAACGAAATGTCTCAAAGCTAAATTTTTTCATGAGAGAAAATAGTGTTATTGCTTGAATGTTTTAATGTTTTATATTATGTATTTTTTCTAGGAAATCAAAAATACAAAAAACCTAAGTCTGCTCCCATGAGAAAACGCAGTCGTGTGAGACAATTACGTAGCAGAGATATAGTTTTCGACAAACCTATGCTAGAGAAGGTAAGTTTTTCTCTATTTACAAAGCAAATTCAACAGAATTTTTAATTTACAAGAACATCAGTGGTTTTGAACATAAGAAAGGCAAAGACGAAGTATCTATTGACCAAGTTGAAGTCAATATTAACACTTTAAATCAAAGTGATCAGAATCGCATTATTCTGAAAGAAAATGTTCAAGCGGTTAACGTAAATGAAACAGAAAAACTTAGCAGAGAAAGAGTTTTACACAAACCTATTCTAGAAAAGGTAAGTTTTTCTTTATTTGCAAAGGAAATCCTACAAAATTTTTCAATTACCATTGTTGAATCATGATCATTTTCAAGAAATCATTGAGTAACAAGGACAGCAGTGGCTCTGATCATGATAAAGACAAAGACGAGATATCCATTGAACCAGTTGAGGTGCATACAAACATTGAAAATAAAAGTGATCGCGAAGCAAAAGGTTCTATAGATGAACGTCAAAAACGTGAAGATTCCAATCACATTGTTTTGGAAGAAAATGCTCTGATGATGAATGTGGACAAAACAGTAAATAACAAGTACTTTCCCGATCTTAAGGCCAAAGAAAGCCAACCGGCATCGGACCCTTCAAGTCTTAGAAAAACAAACAGGAGGAAACTTAATGGTCCAGCGGATTTCTCTTATTTGGATGAAATGGTGGAAGGTAAATGTACATACATTACATTGAATCAAAACGAAATGCCTTAAAACTAATTTTTTTCATAATAGAAAATAGTGTTATTGCTTGAATGTTTTATATTAGATATGTATTTTTTCTAGGAAATCGAAAATACAAAAAACCCAAGTCTGCTTCTATCACAAAACGTAGTCGTGTCAGAGATATAATTTCAAACAAACCTGTGATAGAGAAGGTAAGTTTTATAAACGAAATCATACAGAACTTTTCATTTACCATTGTTAAATCATGATCATTTTCAAGAAACCATTGAGTTACAAGGACAGCAGTGACTCTGATCATGAGGAAGACAAAGACGAAATATCTATTGAACCAGCCAAAGTGCATACAAACTTTGCTAATCAAAGTGATCAAGAAGCCAAAGGTTCTATAGATGAACATCAAAAACGTGAAGATTCTAATCACATTGTTTTAGAAGAAAATGCTCTGACGATTAACATGGACAAAATAGAAAATAACAAGTACTTGTCCGACATCAAGGCCAAAGAAAGCCAATCGGCACGGGACCATGCAAGTCTTAGAAAAACAAACAGGAGGAAACTTTATGATCCGACTGATTTTTCTTATTTGGATGAGATGATGGAAGGTAAATATTGTGTACTTGGAGGTTTTTGTGTTACATAATTATCATTATTGGAATTTCTGGCTATAAATAAACATTTCTTATTTTTCATTGCTTTAAGCAGAAGTAAACCGAGACTTTAAATCAAAGCGAAGTGAGAGGCGACAATCTGCGAAGAGTAAGTCTCTAAAAACTAAATTTTTTGTTTTATAATTATTTACATTATTTTTTTTTTAATATAGAACGAAAAGGCTTTGATGTGAGTCCCAATATCATAGGGCTGAGAAAAAGGGTTTTTGACGAACTGAGTCCTATTAGGTAAGTTAGGATTATTTTCAAAACAATAAAGTACTTTTTGATTTGAATAGATTTTTTAAACTTGGGGTCGGGTTATTCACCTTCTGGTATGCAATCTGACAGATAATCGAATAGAGGACAATAGAATTATAGTACAATGAATTGCATATTTATAAGTCAAAGTCAAAAAATGCTTTATTGTCTAAGAACAAAATTCTCGTTGACAAATTTGTAAAAGGGGGAAAAAAAGTATACAAAAATAATTCCAGAGCCATAGAGTACCAAGATTAAAATAATTAAAATAAAAATACAATACAAGGTCAGACTAAAACAATAAAATCATTTAAACAGTCATTAAAACAAAAGATGAAGTCGCTTTAAAAATCAAAATAAATATAAACATAAATCAACATAAATACAAAAACATGTTCATTCTAAAATATAAAATAAAAAATATCAAAATTGCACAAACGTAAAGTCAACAAACACAGATGTCATTAAATAAAACTACAAATTATATTCAGACAGTCACAAGAAAGTTTCTTGGAAGAATTCTTCTGTGCTATAGTAGGCCTTTGATAATAGAAGCCTCTTAAGATGTACTCTAAATTTTTTACCAGATACTATCTGTTTCAGGTGCAGTGGCAGATGGTTAAAGATCTTTTTACTTTGATAGATTATTGAGTTTTTTGTTTGTGTGGAGGAAGGGATAGGAAGGTTCACATTGTGTGTTTGTCGAGTGGTATGTACAGATGAAAATTCGTGTATGTTTTCCTTAAACTTTTTATGAACGAGACATGAAGTTTCTAGTAAAAAAATACCAGGAAATGTAAGCAATTTATGACGCAAAAACAATGGTCTTCATGAGTCTCGTAATCCTATCTTAAACATATACCTTACCGCCCTCTTTTGCAACACAAACAACATATTAAACAGAGACAATGAACAAAAACCCCAGAAACATATTCCATACCGCAAATGGGATTCAACGAGTGCAAAGTATGCACTTTTTGTTGTCCCAAGATCTAGCTTACTCGATATTACTCTGATTGCATAACATCCTGATGACACCTTTTTGCTCACGTATGTTAAGTGAGGCTCTAATTTTAATCTATCGTCTATGTATACTCCTAAAAACTTACTCGATTTTTGACTGGCAACAGTATCTGCCCCTAAGGTAATTCCCTCAAAACCACATTTAAATGTTAACACATTTGTCTTCGACACATTAAAAGTTAAACAATTCGCATCAGTCCATTCTTTTACCTTAACTAAATCATTATTGATATCCGATTTAAGCTGTTCTACATCCTTATTTACCCAGAGAATCGTGGCATCATCAGCAAACAGTGTAAATACCCCAACTATATCAATGCTAGACAGATCGTTGATGTACAATAAAAATAATAGAGGTCCCAAAACAGATCCTTGTGGAACCCCTGCACTTATAGCCAGTTGTTCTGAATCAACGCCATCAAAAGTAACTCTCTGTGCCCATTCAGAAAAGTAGGACTCAAACCACTTTAGAGCTACCCCCCTCACCCCATAGGCTTCCAGCTTACATAACATTATTTTATGATTGACACAGTCAAAGGCCTTTGACAAATCACAAAAAACCGCTGCTGCGACATCACCGTTATTTAATCCCAAATATAGTTTCTCCAAAAATGCGAAAATTGCATCATTTGTGCCACATGACTCCTGAAATCCAAACTGTTCACAACAGGGAATACTATGTTTTTTAAGAAAACTCATTGAACGCGCCTTGACTAGCTTTTCTATTACTTTAGACATTGTAGGCAACAATGAGATTGGCCTAAAATTTGAGGGAGTATCGCAGTCACCACCCTTGTAAAGAGGTAAGACCCTTGCAAGTTTCAGACAGGAAGGGAAAATACCTGATTGAAAGGACTGATTCACAGAATCAGCAAACACCTCTAGAACCGATTCGGGCAAATGCGAAAAGACCTTCAGCGTAATCTCATCCCATCCCGCAGAATTTTTATTTTTAATATTTTTTAAGGTGTCTGATTTCTTGTGTTGTAGTAGGTTTAAAGAAAAAAGACTCGGATACGCTTATGTGACTTAGATATTCTCTAGGGTTAGTCCCAGAACTAATTTTGCTAGAAAGAGAAGCCGCAATCGAACAATAAAATTTATTAATTTCCGTGGCAGTCAAATTTGAGTCCATTGGTGAAGTATTCTTTTTTCCTCTTAAGTTATTAACAATTCTCCATGATTCCTTTTGTTGCCAGCCATCTCTATCCTATTTCTAAAATATAATTGCTTAGCGGTTTTAACTACTTGCCTATATATTTTACGATATTTGTTGAAAAAAAGCATAAAACCATCATTCCCCAAATAAAACTTCCTAATGTAATGCAAAGAACGCATATTTCTAGCCGATACTCTTATACCTTTTGTAATCCACAGCTTTTTACTCTTACACTTCCTGATTCTAAGCGGAAAAGATCTATAAAAAACTCTCAACAAAGCAGAATGCAACCCCGACAAAGAATTCTCACATCTACCAATCTCGGTCCAGTCTGTCTGCTCGCAGAGTCTCAAAAATGTCTCAAAGTTATCTGTAGAGTAAAGTCGTTTGTACTCTTTTGGCAGTTTAACTGTGCCATAGTCACATTCCACCTCCAGTCCACAGACAACCGCCTCATGATCGGAAAGACCCGCACCAACTGTTGAACAACTCACTCTCCCTTCATCAGAATTTGTACAAATATAATCCAACAATGTCGCTGAATTCGCAGTAATTCTAGTGGGTTCCTTTACATATACTATTAAATTAATAGAGGAGAGTAAGCCATTCAAAGTCTGCACTGAAGCCGATCCTGTATCTAAAAAGTTAATATTTGAATCTCCTGTCAATATTATTAGGGCATTTAAAGGTAGGCTTGTTAAAAGTTTTTCCAATCTGGCAAAAAACGCATCAACATTGCTTGAAGGAGGTCTATAGATACACAAAACATAAAAAAAAGGTCGCAAACAACACACAATTGAAAATTCGAATTGCTTTTCAATTATTAAACTATTATATCTATCTACATTGATTATTTTAAATACTTCAAACAATCTCTGCTGTACCATTATGAGTGTTCCACCATGCACTGCATCTGACCTACAATATTTAGATATTAAACTATACTGTTGCAAAAATATCGGCTCATCATCCCTTAACTAGTGCTCAGTGAGAAGAACAATGCCTGGGTAGTCTAAATCAGCTAAAAACAATTCCAATTCTGAAACTTTGTTTCTCAAAGATTGTATATTTAACAACACTAGGTCAAGTTTTTTACCACTTGACCCCTGTCTAAAAAAGGTGTATCAACTAGTGCATTGAGGCTTTTTGTTTGAACTTCAAGCTACCAGCAAGTTTATATAAAGATGAATAAACCGGCCCTTAGTCATGTTGACCATTGTTGACGATATAAAATCTACCAAAAAGCATCAACATGGTCCATATTTTGGATATATCGGAAATAATATCACTTTTTTTTAATTCGATTAATTATTATTTTTTCTTACATAAAAAAAATACTTTTACCAAAAAAAAAATAGCAAGGAACAAAAGTGGATAATTTGAGAAGAGGCCATCTGACAGTTTCTTATCAGGAAAAAAAAGTACGGATATGGGTCATTTAATAAGGGAAAAGAATGTTCTCATAGCGTTTAACAAAAAAATGTAGTTCTCTTTGCAGCATCTTCAAAATATTTTGGAGCGTTTAGTCCAAGTTCAATTTTATAATTTTTTACTCCTTAGCGCATTTTTTTGGGGGGTTTTATTTTTTGCTTAAGTTATTATTTATTTATTGTATGTACATAAAAATTAGTTCAATTACCTTTTTTTTAAATCTAGATCCTTGGCAAACACTACTAGAAGACACACAAGGCACAGTAAGTTGAATCAGTAATTATTTAAGAAATATATATTTTTTACTTCTATCCTGATGCCGGGGACGGGCATACACATTGGCCAATATATTTGCCGAAACATTTGTCAATATAAAGGGTGATCCAATTAGTGCTTTAGGATTTGGAAGTATTACAAAACAAAGTGGAATATCGCAGCAACGTTGCGAAATTAAAATTTATTATCAAAACCAAAGCTCTAAGGCAACTTGGCGCGGATTAAGTGTACTTTATAGTCTCCCCCATGATCCACCCAGTGAATAAACAAAAACAATTCGTAATGTTGTGAAGAAATTTGAAAATGAGTTTGCTGAATAATCCAAGAACAAATTGTGTAAAAAATGTGAGAGCGGTTATTCCTGAGATACTGGCTCAAATGTGTGAAAACGTGTACTGATCGAATTCGCTATTGTGGATAAAGTCGTGGGAGTCACTTGACCGATGTTATTTTTAAAACACAAGTTGGTTTTTCGAATAAAATGAAAACATTTTGGCAACGCAGCAATGTCTGTGTTTTATTTCATTTCAAAATACTAAAGGACTAATTGGCTCCCCTGTAGTTGTCCGAATAGTTGTATAAAATTATTATACACGGGCAAACTTGGGCCAGCCTTGGCCAATTCCGACAAACAAACGAACCACATATTCGTGTTGGCTGAAGTTTGCCAGACTTCTCCATATGTGTATGCCCGGCATGAGAAATCACCATTATTGACTCCATTTCTCCAATGATAAGTAATATTTGAACCAGCGGAATGAGTGGGAAATTACTATTAGTATCAACATCTGATCAAATTAAATATAGTAGGTAAATGAATCAGTGTTAGTGGTTAAAACAACATTGTGTACTTATACTTTGGTTGAAAATGCCATTATACAGGGTGAATCCGAAAGTGAGGCTTTTTTTTTTAACAGGATGTATATCTCACCAAAATAAGTTGTTTGGCAGAAAATTGTTTATATAAAAAATTTAAGATAACGGAGGTACAGCTATTTTGAGGTTAGAGGAGACTTCCACTATAAATCACTTTGTTTACATTTTCTCAAAAAAAAAGCCGCAAAAAAGCCATTATTAGTCCAGCATAATGAGTCTTATTCCATAATAGGTACTCACAGTTGCATTATTCCATCAGAAAAAATTTCATTTTCAACTTATCAATTTTCGTTTTAAAGTGAAACAGACAAAATTTAGGAGGGAAATGAAGCATCATACAAATGGAAATAATTTTAAACAATTTTTGTGAGAATTTCATACATCTGTCAAAACTGGTATTCCAACAATGAATTGACATGTTTTGATTGTTGATTTGAACCAATCAGATTGTAATTACGCGATAATTTGCACTAGTGCAAATTATCAGATAATTGCATACTAACTGGTGCGAAAACTGGTGTTTTGACATTTTTTGACAAAAAATTTAAATTTTTGATTTATGAAATTCTCTCATTAAATACAACTCGTGCAATGGAAATATATTTATAATTTTCGACAAATTTGCACTCATGCGTTTTTAACTGAAAAAGGCACTCGTGCACTACGTGCACTCGTGCTCTTTCAAAATGCATTCGGGCAAATTTCCCAAAAATTATCAATAATTTCCATTGCACTAGTTATATTACTATTGATAATTTTTATCATATTTTCTCTACTAAATCTTAGATTATTGAAATTAGATTTTTAATGCACATAACCCTAAAATACCTATACCTCCGTTATCTTAAATTTTTTATGTAAAGAATTTTTTGCCAAACAACTTATTTTGGCGAGATATATACCCTATTAAAAAAAAACCCTCACTTTCAGATTCACCTTGTATACCTTTGTAATAGTGCTCGGTAAATAATAATTCACTTCTCAACCTAGGTATAGTAGTTTTGTATCTTTCGAAGAAAAATCGACAAAAGAAGGCGTTTTTAATATGTACTTTAGTGCATAAGCATAAAAAAAAATTATCAGAGGCGCTCATCGTCATATTTTTTTCAGGACATAGAGGATTTGATATAAATCGGACTATTATAACTGAGGGAATAACGTTTTTTGAAGGTGTGGGCGATTCTTTCAAGTAAGTACTATAAATAATATATGTTTTAATCAAAATATTTGCATAATTGAATTTTTAAGCTTTAACCTGTTTGAAGAAGTATCACCTGTTAAAAGGCAGCGAAGAAGTTATGAGAAATCACTTAGGTAAGAATAAATAACTCTTTTCAAACAACCCAAAGAATTTCTCATGAAAATGAAATATCTACGCAAAGTAATTAATGAAAAATACTGAACAATGTTTAACTTCGTAGACCCAAATAGGAATTTACATTGCCTGGTTTCAACTAAAACAAAATCTTTACCACAACTTTGACAGAACAGTTACCAACCCTTTGGCTTTAGGCGCTCTAAAACTTATTCTCCTTTTAAAGGAAGCTTTTTTCTGTGTGTCTTGGTTATCTTACATACAATGTGAGCCAAAAGTATTTAGGTGAAATGTTTTTTGGCTTGATGCGAGAGTGGCCTTTATAGCTCAAAAATAGATAAAGTTGTAGAAAATCTTTTGGAAAAGTGTGATTCTGGGGTCCATATTTCTTAACTTCAAATTTGCTTCCTTCCTCATTTATTTCATCTTATAACACAAAGCTTGTGCTGAGTGAATTTTATTATCATTATTATAAAACATGTTATTCTTATGAACCTTCAAGGCTGTGTCGTTGCTGCTAAAGAAAAATTGAATTTTTTTAATTTTTTTTACCTTTTATGTGCACATTATTTATTTTAATTACCTATTTTTCATTTAGATCAGCATCGAAGAAGACTCCTACTCCTAAGAAAAAACGTCAAAGTAGTAAGTTTTTAAACAAAAAAAAATTGATTGTACTAAAATATTTCTCATGTATTATAGAAATCAAAGAAATCAATACTCAATCAGTCAAGCATGAATCGTGGGATCACATTGTTAAACCAGTTGATATTGATGTTGAGTAAGTGAACAATAGTTTTTGTTATTGGTATTTTTGTTGTTGACGCTTTTTTGGATAGACTGATAATAATGCCTCCAGTCTAATTATATTAATAACACACTTTCTTCAAAATTTAGATCAGAAAACAATCGAAACGGAACGCTACATGATGCTCCTGAGGAAATTTATGCTAAGACAAAGCAAAAGCGCATCAATATTCAGCAGAATGTTTTGGTAAGTATCGCTTCATGAGTAACTTTTGTACATACATACATTGTTATGAATATGTAAATAAAAACTAATACACATATTAAATACATGTGTCACATACCTATTGCATTGAGTGGACAATATAATTTTTCTATAGAAAAAATCGGGATTGGACTGGTTCTATAACTAATATTTTTGTGTTTAGCTGGTACCCGCGAAACGTCCTGCAATGGAAAATGCTGAAAACCAGTTAGTCAAGGATACTAAAGTTACTAATGAAGAAAAAAAATATGTAACCTTCTCATTCCAACAAGGTAAGTATCTATTTATGCTATTTAATTGTATATTACATTACGAGTGTAGAAAGTGACAAATTTCACACAAGTGGTATAATCAACTATTACAAATGAGTAATAAATAAATTATTGAACATTATACGCTAGGTAACAGTTTTTACTGGCTCATGAAAAAAAAAGCTTGCTAAAATAATCATTTCCTTCAAATGTGAATAAAACTGTTCTACTTGGCTAATAATGTAAAAATATTATTATCTGGAATGTTAATTTATTTTTCAGATGAATTAACAGAATTTATAGAGGGGATAGAAGGTGCAAAAATATGTTGTAATAAAATCGAAGCCTTTCTAACAAAGCTATATAAAAAGAAATTATTGTAAAGTTCCTGTTCCTGTTATTAGTACAATACGAGCATAGTAATTATTGTTGATCAACCGAAAAAAAAAAATATGTTTTGGTTCTCTATTTATTTATTTTTTTCCAATGTTAATTTTAGATCATAATTTATTATTTATAGTTGATGTTATTTAATATATCTGTTCCCACATGAAATTCTTCTACTTTTAGTTTAATATTAATCCAGTAACCATATACATTCGACCATGCGTCATATCTGGTAGTTCTGATTTTTTGCTGAGTTGTTTATGATGTTAGTCCAATAAATAATGTGTTCGAACCCGACGGCCGAACTCAACCTAGTCAAAAGTCCAGAAAAACGCGGAATTTTCGACATTTTTTCAGTTTTTGCCGAATTTAACCCTGAAGGGCTAGTTTTTTTGGAACAACTATCCAGTTAGTTTTTAAAGTAGACTAAATATCCTATAATTTAAGACGACGACCATCTCTGTAAGTGCAACAGTTTCCGAAAGAGCTTTTTAAAGTTTCTGTTTTTTTTTTTTTCGGTAGGTCGTGCTCATCGTGCTGCCGTTGACAACCGAGAACACCGCCGTACTTTACGGGCTGCATCCGCATGTCTAAGAGTCTCTTTTTTCGTGGCACATCAATTCTCGTCTACTGGCTTGTTTAAAAGTTGTGCGTTGCGCGTACCTTATAGTATTCTTTCGTTGATATTTGAAATCGATATTTACAGAATGTCGGATCCCGGTGCCAGCGGCGCGAGTGTGTGTTTTATATGTAAGGAGAGTTTATCTGAAGGTGCAGTTTTAGTTAAGAAAAAGGGGGTGAAAATCCTTCTTGCGTCCCAACGTTGTTTGAGAGGTAGGTTGCCTGATAACTTTATGACGTCATCTGTATGCCTCGAACATAATGCAAATCTCCATAAGGCACTCCAGATGCGTCATTAAGTTACCCATTACCAGGCAACCTATTAACTTTAGGAACCTTGCTTGCGTCCAGTGTTTCCCGAAACATTCAAGAAAATGTACATTTATTGACAGGTGTGAATGAAATAACTGTACACAGTGCTTGACAGAAGAGATAAAAACGATGCGAGATGTATAAAAGCAGCTGTTCGCCATGGAGACACAAGTATAGAAACATCAAGAACCACGAGATCAGTTTCGGAGCAGTTTAATTTTAGAGAACAATATTTTCTTTGTGGTGAGAGAATAACTGAAAAATTCCTTGTAGCCCAAAGAAAGGTGAAACCTGAGAAAAGAAACAATGTAATAACTAGAGAAAAATTGTCTCTCCATGAAACAGTCTTAAAAGCAGCAGAAAAACGTGGTGACGAATGAGCTCTTAAAATAAAAGAATGTATATCGGAGAACACAGATTTGGTTGCCCTTGATGCGAGGTACTACCGGTTTCATCAAATAAAGCTCTACCAGGCCCCACTGACAGGAATGCCCAGAGGAAATCGTCAGTATTCCATGGTTGATCAGGCCATGGAAGTGGCTTATCCATTTTTGGAAGAGACCTATAAAGAGTGCCAATTCTCACTCAGTGAACTACTGAAACAGGTAGAAGGAGAAAAACCTCAACCGCGAACAGTCAAAAACCTGTTCGGATTCCTGGAAGTACTGAAAAGATCATTTGCGGAAAAATGGAAACAAACCCTGGGTGCTGCGTTGGACTAACACATAATTTTATTGGAGATAAACCGGAAAGATTTCTCATGGAAAAGACTCTAGTAAGAACAAATGGAGCCACTATGAATTGCCAGTGTTTCTTCTGAAACAGTAAAAATAAAGAAAGATTATTGGAACTTTCGAACCAGTCAAGCAAATATCGTACTGTGACCTATCAGATAAGCGACATTTGGTAAACTCGAAATTGGATACAGACATCTTGATGCAGACTTTGGAGGAATCATGGAAACACCTCGATCCAGGGGCACGATTCTCGTCTCAGGGAGAGGAGGGCTCCCCGAGAGAACAATTTTGTCGTCCTTATCCTTCTCGTTCACTTTTCGATTACGTTGACATTTGACAAGGACAAAACATTCGTTCTCTCGGGGAGCTCTACTCCATGGAGACGAGAATCGGGCCTCAGATAGACTTCAAGAAGCCACAGATTTCATCTTGAAAGAAGCAGAGGTATTTGTGATGGATAGTCAAACCGGTCGGACCAACCATGGTCTGCGCCAGTAGTATTGGTTACAAAGAAAGATCAAAGTCTTAGATTTTGTCTGGACTACCGTAAGCTTAATAATGTCACCAAGAAGGATAGCTTTCCTGTTCCGAGGATAGACGATAATAATTATCAACTATCAGGTTCCCAATAATGGTTTTCCACCTTGGATCTTGAGAGCTGATACTGGCATGTGGCAATATACAAAGATGAAAAAGAAAAAACTGCCTTCAGTCAGTACCGGAAGCGGGTTATACCAGTTTAACGTAATGCCTTTCGGATTGTGTAATGTTCCCGCTACGTTTGAGCGACTGATTCATCTAGTTTTGCGAGGCCATATATGGAGAACTTGTCTGGTATATTTAGATGATGTCATGATCATGGGAAATTCGTTCCAAGAACATCACAATAGCCTGAAGGAAGTTTTTGACCGCTTCTGGAATGCCAACTTGAAACTGAATTCAAATTAAGTGTATTATATTTCAAAAGAAAGTGGAATTCTTCTTAAGCCGGTCCCAGACGCTACGTATATTCGGCGAACATTCGGTATTCGGGCTTATTCGCGTAGCGTGTGGGAAGGTTACTTTGGCGAATATTCGCCCTTCGTCATTTTCCCGCCAATTATCGGTAAACTGGCACGACGCAATAAAGGAAGACGAAGTCCACTACGTATGACTTCGCACTGCTCCCAGACGCTTTGGGGGTATATGCATAGTGTTTTGTCAGTTTATAGCGGTATGCAGTGCCGAGTGCCGCAAGGTTGATTTTGGCATTTGTAGTTATTTTTAATTAAAATAAGAAATGGAGTGGACCAATGGACTATCGTTAGAATTTTTACAATTATTTGAAAATGAACCTGTCATTTGCGTCATTTGGAACTCAAAGATACCTGCTGAAAATGACACAGGTAACGGTTGTGATGTATTGTATGAAACACAGGTATGAAACGCCACTGAAAATCGACAATCGACGGCCCTCTGCTTGGAAAATTCGCCGAACAATTTTCAAGCCAAACCTTCGTCATAGAGTGTGGGAGATCAGGCAAAGATTCATGCGAATGACGAATATTCGTCTATTCGCCAAATACACGCAGCGTCTGCGACCGGCTTTAGATTACGTGGTATCTGAAGATGGTATACAAGTTATGAAAGGAAAGATAGATACCGCCAGGGATTGGCCAAAACCACGCGACAAACATGAACTAAGGAGTTTTCTAGGATTAGGTTCTTATTATCGAAGATTTGTAAGCCCAGTAGTGTTGTCCTATCCCGATCAGAAGGGCATGTTGGATTTTGGACACAAATGCGAGCAACACCGCAGTATTGGAGCGGTACTTTCACAAATTTGAAATTCACAAGAGCATGTCGTAGGACGTAGAGTACTACAGCAGAACCTTTTCAAAGCCAGAACGAAATTATTGTCTCACCCAGAAGAGAGTTGCTCGCCAGAGTAAAGGCAGTCGACCATTATCATAAATATCTCTACGGACGTAAAGTTTCTAATTCGAACGGATCACGCAGCTCTAAAATGGCGTTTAGAAATGAAAACTACCGATGGACAGCTTCTTAGATGAATTGAGAAATTGCAGCAATACGATTTCCAAATTAAACATCGACCTAGAAACCTGCATAAAAATGGGGACAGGTCCTGCCATCTTTAAGAAAATTTGTGTCAGATCATGGGCATTCGTAAGAAAAGGACAATACCTTTGCAGCCACATGAATGGCATTGGAAGAACGATTTAATAAGACCATAGAGGAACACCTGACAAAAGTGGTCTCAAAAAACCAGAAAGATTGGGACAAACACACTTGCCTCTATTTTTAATGGTTTACAGCTGTTCACGAGTGAACAGGTGAAAGTCCAGCTAGAATCGTTTTTGAAAGGAAACTCAGGTTACCTTGCGATCTGATGTTTGGAATACCTGAAGAAGAATGAAAAGAAATTCGAGATTATGCCGATGAAATAAGGACACGACTTCTGGGGATACATGACCGAATAAAGACTAGATACGACTTGAAAGCCAATTCAGCCGGATTTCAAGAAGGTGATTTGGTGTGGTGTATAATCCAACAAGAAAGAAAGGAGTGTCGCCAAAATTGTCTTCAGCCATGGAATAATCAAGAGGATCAATGATTTGGTTTATCGAGATAAATTTTTAATTTGGAACATTACTTCAGTTGCTGACTGTATATCTGGACAGATTGACGAAATATCATGGGCGTGAAGTTGAACGGGATGATGGAACCTTAAAATGAGGGCAGTGACATATAGGTATATAAAGGTCGGTATTAGTTGTTTTTAGTTTAAGATCGGCTATGATATGATTTAGATAGTGATTATTTTTAAGAGTTGTAGAGAGTGAAGTTGTTTGACTTAATTATTGAAGTAATTAGTGTCAGAGTGTATATATAGTAACGTGGAATAAATTATTGATGTTGGTTGATTGGACTTCGATTTTTGAATAAAGGGACCCAAGATTTTTGTCACGTAGCCCAGAGCCGTGACATTAATAAGCAAAGCATTTTCTCGTGATGTTGCCTTACCTCTGGAGTGCGTTCAGAAATGGAGTGTGAACGTATTGTTTGCCCAGCGGTTCTGAGTCTACAGAAGGAATTCGGACGTAAATGTGCGATGTTGCCACGTTTAATGATAAAAAGCGAAAATACTAGGCATAAAGTATAGTTCATTTAAAAATCCATTTTTTAATAACAAAATGTAGATAACAATAAAACGCTAAATATTTCAACGTGGTTGTTAGATCTATGCTTATTTTAATAACTGATTTCTTCAATTTTACCTTTTGTAAAAAATAAACATTTCCTAAAGAATCCATCAGCTTTTGACAATTTGGCAAGGATCCGGCCTGGATGAACCTGATTGGTGGAGTTTTTGGCAAGATTCAGGATCGCCGTTGCCACGGGGAAACCATGCGGTTGTCAGTGGACTAACGTCTTGACTCTATGTCTCGCCTCGCTATTGGCCAGCCCTTGTCATTTTATCCTCCCATCTTGGAATA